GCCTCGGCTTATATTCGGGTCGGCCTATACTCGAGTATATACGGTACTGGCCAGCTGACTTCCTTATGCCTACATGGTGTTTACAGCAGATATTTTCTCTTTGCGCCATGATAGAGAAACATCTGTTGCTACCGAGAGTTGAACTTCCAAATGGGAGTCCCAAACTTCTAAATAGGAGGAGAGCATCTTCACCTCTAGCTACCACACTGCTCAGGATGCTAAAACTGTATTGTTTGCTCAGAAAGAGAGGTAAAACCCATTGGCCAGAAGAAAAAAATGGTCACAGCTAATCAAAGCTACAAAATCAAAGACCACTGGTATATTATGACAAATTGTTTCTACAATGATGCCACCCAAATGCCCTATATTCCTTGTATACTTGCATATGTTATCTGCAAGCCTTGTATTATGATCCTCATGCCAACTCCTACATGATAGATGTGCCTTTATCCCTCTATCCAAGTGGCCCCCAGTAATATGCAAGGAAGTAAAAAATATTATTAATCAACTTCAGTGTGGTAAAACTCCAGGTTGTAATTGTATTCTTTCCAAGTTAATTAAATATAGCTCTGATGGGCACCAGTACTGGCCTCTCTCTCTCTCTTTTCATATATTAAATGCACAGCTAAGTTCCCAGAGAACTGAGAGTAGCAATAATTGTTTCCTTATGTAAAAAGTGTGACAAGAATGACTCACCTAATTATAGGTTAATTAGCCTATTGAATATCAACAGCAAATTGTATGTTAGGTATCTATACACCAGAGTATATATCTGGATAGTAAATGAGGAAATAATTGATCCCAAGCAAGTAGGGTGCCAAACAGGACTGTCTATTACAGACCACTGCTATAAGTACTAGCTAATAAATCCAAGCTTATAAATTTATATTAAATCCAAACTTTTTGTTTCCTTCAATAAAAATGTGATGGTATAAAGCTGTCTCAGAAAAAATGAGTACTGATAGAAATCCAGCTTTGCACATGGAAACCATGGTTTGGTGCATATACAGTTACAGTCCTAACACATCACACTCAAGATTTGTTCTAAACCATGTTTCTTCTGCTTTCTTTGGACAAGCTGACAGCTGACTTGCCCAGATAGAATGAAAGCAAGTTCTGACTGGGCTCCTGCTTTCTGTGTACAAGCCTACCCCTTCAATTTGTGACACCACCTCTTTATTGTTGCATTCACACAATACATAAGCTAAGCTAACAATAAACAAACCAGGTATATTGTGATGGGTGAACTCAGTGACAAAGCTAGAAATGCACTGTGAGCTCATGGTTTATTATAGCTGCAAGTTAATTAAGGTTGTAATCTCCTAAGTGAGTAAATACTGAATCATTATTCTGCACCCTTTATGAGGGAGGGAGGAAGGGAAGGAAGGAAGCAAGCAAGGAAGGAAAAAAATAGATTAAATTCTATTTTAGGCTTTAGTGAATCTTAAACTACAAGTATGAATTGGGCTGCTTTATCCTTATTTTCAAGTTTTATTCCAACTCAATGATGCAATTATATCCTGCACAATTAACATAACTAACAGTAGAATCAGTTTTAAGAAATAAGCTATTGTACTTGATAAACTACAAAGCAGATTTTTCTAATATATTTGTTGATTCCTTTCAATACTTTTTGATCACTCTGTGGATGATCTATAGGCATTTCACCCTGATCCTTTTTAACAGCTACTTGTTTGAAGAATCAGATAACAGTTACTTTTTTAATTATACATATCTACCACTTCATTAAAAAATCCACTTACCATGAACTTGTTTTTTTATCTCTTTGGCAGCATCCAACCATGTCTACAAGAAAATGGTAAATATTTATCATTTGAAATGTTGACAAATAACAATGTGAAAATGTATTATTGCTGCATTAATACAATACAAAGCTAGCACAGTAATAGAATAAAATGACACATTATTAAAATGTTAACATAGTCAAGCTGATGAACAGGAAGTATCTTAAAAATATTTTTCTAATAATAAAGTTAAAATAAAGAAACAACAAAATTAAAAATACATAGACACCAAGACTATCAATATTGCTGCAGAATTATAATTTTAGAAGCCTGGACATTTTTAGATAGTTTTCAAGTTGAAAGCAAAACGCAACTGCCAACTTCCTCTCCCCATTATATAAGCTATCTCTATATGTAGATATAGCATGTACATTGCCCTGTTCAGAAATATCAGAAGTCACTCAAGGCAGGTGCTGTCCATGGTACTGATCTATCCAGAAGACCTTCTATGTGCAGTGTTAGGCAGTTTAATATTTTTCTGTGTTAAAGCCAGTTTCTACAAATTTACCAATGACAGGATGCATGCATTTTATTAACTGTTCTCCAGATAAAGTTCAGTTCTTCTCCACCATCCCACCAAATTTAAGCAAATTAATTTCCCCCAAATGACCTACTAAGAACATTTTTGTGTAAAGTTCTTACCTTAGACGTTGGAGTATCCCATATGGCCAGTCCAAAATAGTCCTCTTCCAAAAGGTTGAGGTGATCACATACTTTCTTAAGAAGATCTTGTCCTTTGGCATGTTTCTGTAGAAAAATACAAATAGTTAAGAGAATTACTGGTAATTATAGTTAAGATGTGTTTTGAGATTTAGTCCTAAATGGTGAAAAACAAAAACATATGAAAAATGGCCAGAAAGAAAGCTGCAGAGATGCGAAGACTAAATTTCTAATCTTGGACATAGAAAGAGGAAGGAAGGGAAAAACAAACAAACCTTAAATAAATCTGACTCGGCATGCAAGTATATCCCTTCACAAGACATCCCCCCACCCTCCAGCCCCCACAAAATTGAGAATCATGTATTTCATAATTTACGGTCTATACTCTCTTCCCTTGGATAGTTTTTTAACGTATTGGAAGTGTGAAGTCATGTTTCCTCTTAGACTTTTCTTCTTTAAACTAAACATACAGTATCCAATTATTTTAATAGTTCTTCTTATGATATGGTGTTTTAGCTAGTCACTATCTTTGCTGCTTTTCTGCATTCTCTGCATTTTTCTTGCATTGTAGTGACAAAAAATGGAAGCAGTACTTTAAATGCTGTCTTACCATGTCAAAGTCATGGGAATGGTAATTCCACTCCACACTACACTGGTGCAGTCTGACCAGTGTAGAGTGGAACAACCAATTCTATGATCTTGACATTATAATTCTGTTGATGCTACGCAAGACTTCAGTGGCTCTTTTGGCAGCTGCAGCACACCATTGGCTCATGCTTATTTTATGGTCTATCAAGACATTCAAATCCTGCTCACAAATATTATTGTTTGGCCAAACACCACCCATTTTGTACCTGTGCACCTGGTTTTCTTTACCTAAGGTTCAGAATCTTACATTTTTTACCACTGAGCAGTATTTTGTTGGATAGGGTCCAATGTTCAAGTGTATCAGTTCTTTCTGAACGTTGATCCTATCTCCTGAAATGTTAGCAATTCTCCTAACGTCATATACCTTTCTTCACATGTTAGGTACAGATATTTAACCAATTGTGAATCTTGTAGTGAGTTATCCTATGGTAAGATGAGTGGTCTATATATGTATATGTGTGTGTGTGTGTTTTTGTGTGTGTATGTATATGTATATGTATGTGTGTGTGTGTGTGTGTGTGTGTGTGTGTATAGTCAATTTTATTAAATGCCTTACTAAAGTCTAAGCACACTCCATCTATAGGTAGTCCACACTAAACAACTACTCGTTCAATGACCATTCAAAGTTATGATGGCACTGAACAAGGACCACTGATGGCAGAGCCTCATAGTTGCAGCCAGGGTGCCACATTGTCCCAATAATCATGGGTTGAGTTGAGTTGTTGGTAACTTACTCGCAATTATTTACAGTATTCCACAATCTTGGGATCACCAGAGATTATCTTCACTACTAGCTTCTAAGAAGCACTCATTGAAGAAGCCATCAGGAAATTGCAAATGGCAAGCACATAACCCCAAGATGCTGCAACTCTGCAGGATTCACCTTATAATGGCAACTGGGACCTGCTACAACTGCCACTCTAAATTGGCATGGCAAGTGAGGATCTAATAATCCAGCCAAACAAAAATGATTTATCTGGCACAGCCTATTTTTTAACAAACACATGAAAGTTCTAGTAATCACCACCAACTAATTAGTTAAATGAACAGAACAACAGATAGTTAAATTATAGCTGTATTTCTCCACAATTTCATAAATATGATTTTGGCTGATGGCCAAACTATAACTTTCCGCTAGAGCCTGAAGATTATAAATCAATATAGGAGCATTGCTTGAGGCACTGATGGGTGAGAGGTTTTTTTCTTCAAGCATCAGCAAGCCTTTCCCTCCCAGCCCACAAACAGATGTCAGGCTGAAAGGATATAAAAAGCTGCTTTATATCATCAGCCTGTTGTCTTCCCTGCTAGCAGTTGTTCTCCAGGGACTTCAACCTAGGATCTTTAATCAAAGATGATACAGAAGGAATGTAGAATCCAAGGCAGTGAAATCACAATTTTACCATGAGCCACCCATATGAAAAAATAATCTCTAAAATTTGCATTTTTATTCCATTCTCTGCATGTAGAATTAAAGACTACCATTAGAGGCACACACACATAAAGTAACCACTGGATACAATAATATTAATAGCAATATTTTAATAATATCATATAATAATGTAACATTCATACACTGACTAAAATATGTTAAGTCAATTAAAACATCTATTTTGTTCAATCAGCTACAGAAATACAACTTGGCCATAAACATGCATTTAGGTTTCATTAGTGATTCAAAATATCAGTAAACCTTTAAAAAGAACAATAGTACTTAATTCCCAATCTACTATGCAACAATCAAGCAAAAGGGACAAGGTAGTGTATCACATGCAACTTCTATTATCCATAACTTTAAAGGTGCAACAACTATGCTTTTAGCAAGACTCAAAGATGCCTGTAGTATGTTGCAGTCAGTTCCTCCCATACCAATATCAAACCTCTTCACCTTACACCCAATGTCATTCATTCCTGACAACATATCAAACATAAAAACCCACTGATTGCTAAAAAAAAAGTTAAACAGATTCCTGGGGGCAATTATAAAGTAGTGGTTCCTCCAAATAGTTATTTTATGAGTGCAATTTTTTAAAAATGAACTTTGTAATTTAAAGATAGGGTGAATTTGTTTAGGCTACTATAGAGAAAAATAGGGTGTTCTATCATTTCAAAAAGATACAATGTATCAGGACAATCACATTCTCCCCCTCCCCTCCATATTAGTTTTAATATAGATTTACAATTCAGAAATTAATCAGTAACATATAAATATACTTACATCCACAGAACACTCAAAAATTGCATCATCCAGTAAGGTAATCTTGCAATGCATGCTATTTCGGGGTCTTCTTACTGTTTTGGGAGCACTTTTTAATTCTTTTTCCACCTTTCCCTTGTTTTCTTTTTTTTCACCTGTATTGGAACACTCCACCTGCTCTTTTTCTTCCTTAATTTCAAGATCTATGTTCTCTGGATCTTGGTCCTGATCTTCTCTCCTATCCTCTTGAGCAGGCTGAAATCATTAAAATATTCTAATAAAACATTTCCCTGTAATATGTGTTTATGTTTGTATTTCATAAATCTTTATTACTTTAAATACTTGAAAAGTAAAACTTTTTTAAAACCAGGACACTAGCTGAAATTCACAACCTGCATTGGGGGAGGAGGGAGACTTTTTAAATAAAAAGATAAATGCATATGCTGGGAATTACTACTTAAATGTCATTAGTTTCCAATATAATTTAAAATGTAACAAAATACATTGTCCATAAATTATACCTTAAAGATGTGAAACATTTCCCAACTTGAACCTGGTTAAATAAACCTCAAAATTAAGTTGTAAAACGGACTAATTATTTTACATGCTGCCTACTGCCAAATAGCTCTAAGAGGTACTCACATAATTAGTAAAAAACATAAAGCAGCAGCATAAAAAGTATCTAAAATCCCTATGCAAATGAGGGGCATGTCTCAACTCAAAAGCAGTTTGTTTTCAATTATGGCTGGATCACTGGAAAAGCAGACATTTTGTGGATGTTAGACATACCCATGTTAAAGGCAGAATTTAAAACAGGATGGGGACAACTGCAAGTATCTCTGATACTTTATGGGGCTATGTGCACTTTGAATTGGAACTGGAAGACAGTGTAGTTTTTTCAATATTGGTGTAATAGAGCATTTATATTTTCTTGGGAATAAAATCCATGAAAGTCCCAATAAAAATATATTCTGTTTTAGTTATATTAAACTAAATTACCATATTTTTCAGTGTATAGGACCCTCCAGAGCATAAGACGCACATTAGTTTTGGGAGAGGAAAACAAGGCATCAATCAGTATTCATCTGTCTAGCGTCCTTGCAGCCAACAGCAAACAGCCTAGTCAGCTTCAGCACCTTATTGCAACCTGATTCAGTACGAGCAGCTGATTGGTTGGATCAGCCTCCCAGAATACCACCAATCAGCTATTCCAGGCTGTGGGGATTGCCACAGCACATCACTGCCTCCACGCATCGCATTTTTGGCTTCTGCGCGTCACATTTTTGGCCTCCACACGCTCTGTTTTAGACCATTCCAGGCTGCGGGGATTGTCACAGCACATTGCCACCAATCACCACCTCCGCACGTCATGTTTTCAGCCTCTGTACATTGCATTTTCAGCCGGTTCCAGACAGCGGGGGCTGCCGCCGCTGCTCCCTGCCATCGAAAATGTGATGCGCAGAGGCCAAAAACAAAGTGTGCGGAGGCCAAAAACACGACACACGGAGGCGATCATCAGTGATCTACTGTGACAATCTGCACAGCCTGGAACGGGTCTAAAATAGGGCACGCGGAGGCCGAAAACGGCCAAAGGATGGGTGGGACTTCGGCAATATTTGTTGTATAAGATGTACCACAATTTTGCAGGGGGAAAGTGTGTCTTATACTCTGAAAAGTATGGTACTAAATAAACTATATTAAATTAAAGCTATATGCACAATATTAGGAAGAATCTCTCTAGAAATCTAAGCAACTAGAAAATATTACTTTTACATGATACTTACCTGAGTTTCTGCACTGCTGAGTGAGTGAAGATCTAAAGACGGATCAGTCCTAAGTTCAGGTTCAGGAGCTGCTATTGGGGCTTTCAGCAAAATCTCTTCATTGAGATCAACTTCTATATCAGCCTCTTTCTGGTGTTCTTCACCAAGTTCTTTTGTTCCTGCCCCGTTGCCTTCTTCTTCTGATACCTGAGATTTGGGCCTCTTGAGAAGTGATGAAAATAAGCGTGACAGGCCACGAGTTTCAGAACTGCATTCTTTGTTCTTACTCTGGTCTTCTCGGGTGGGTGTGTCACCATTGGATGCTTTCAGCTTCTTCTTGGATGGATTATCCCCCTCGGGTGCTTTCTCCACAAAAGATTCCTGGGGATCAGTTTCAGCAACTACCTCCTCCTCCTTTGGGGGCTGCTGTTTAGGAGTCTCAGACTCTGCCACTAAACTCTTTTCAGTTGTCATGTTTCTAGTGGTAAAAAATAAAAGAAACTTAACTGAAGACATGAAATATTAATATAAAACCGCATTTTATGTTACATAAATAGCCACCTCATTTTTCTTAATCCAGAAAAAAATACTAACATTTATAATTAATAAAATGTCCTTTCCAGTGAATTCTTTGTGGTTACAGAATTCAGTTTATCAGATACAAAATATAAAATCCAATGCAAAATTCTAAAACTTAAAACTTAAGCAAGATTGCTTAATTTAAAGGTTAAAAATTGCTTAATTTAAAGGTTAAAAAATAAGCTTGAGAATTTTTTTGTGTACTACATGGATTACTCTCAAGGCTTTCTATGCTTCTTACTTATAAAACAAATGCTTCTTACTTATAAAACAAAACAACTGTCTACTTGAAGATGGTTCACCTGCCACTAACACCTAGGGGAATGAGTATACTAAAAGTACAATGAAGAATCATAGCAGGCTAATCAAAGGAATGTAAATTGGGTGTTCTATATTACAATACCCACTATTTCTTGCCATAGACCAAACTCCTCAAAGGACAACTTCATGCACATGGATTCCCTATTTATATAATATCTGAAAACTACTGAACTATGTTACCAATAATAAAATCAGATTTTGGGCGGTAATATTATACAACAAAAGCCAGTTACACATTTTTCTGACCATCTTATTTCTGCCATTACTTTCTCTTCCTATTAACTTTGACAGGGGGAGAAATCCAAGATAATTAGGTCTCTGGAAGAAATACATATCAATATATTTAAAGAAGAAGAAATGTAGCTTTCCTTCATCTTCTTTCCTATTAGACTTAAATACATTAGGTAGATGAGGAGAAATTATAATAATTGATATTATTTTAAAAAATCATGTTCAAGCTTCAAGTCCAGTTCAAAAGGTGATATGGAAACACAACAGATTCCAAAAAGTGAAAGCATAGTAGCCATTTGCAAATAAGAAATGCAAAACAATTTTATCAAGCTTGGAGATCATCAAAACAAATCAGTGACTTAAGAATTAATTTACTGCAATTGTCCAGGGAGAAAGTAGGAATGATTATTTCTACTGATTAGATGGGTAGCAGGTAAGCAACAATACTTTGTTCTGTAAAATCACCCCTCAAAATAAGGCGTATGAACCTGGCTGTCTCTTTGCTTTAGAATCTTGTTCTGGAGGTTAGAATGGGACATCAGGTGTTCATTCACTTCCATATCTTAGTCTGAAGGCTCCTAAAAATCTCCTGAAAAGATTATTATATTGTTCCCCGCAGCTATTGAGGTGGAATTACATGGACACCTTTACTATGTAACATAAGAGGTCTTGATCTACCTAGAAAACATTTTTTGGATCAAAGCTATTAAGGCAGAAGACAGAAATTGGTTCTATAAAACAGGCGAGCAAATATCTGAGCATATTCTATCCACTATTTGAAATCCAACGTTCTATCCACTACTCTATATCTCGTCTTATTCTACAGAAGAACTTCAAACCATAAAAGCTAAATAAAATAATCAAGGCTAAACAAAACAACCATTTTTTTCCCTTTACAAAAAAATTTATGCCTTTAAGCAATGTAATTTTATCCCATTGTACTGAACGCTACTAAAATCTAATGAGCTTTACAATGCTACCTATATGAAACTATACATATTTCAGGGGAGAGACGAAAACAGATTAGCTTTCAAGTTTCTAAAGAAAGGATTTTATGTTGGAAAACAGCTAGTTTATCAAGTGATACCATGTTTAGCATAACTATAAAAAAGATAAGGGTTATATTACTGTAAATTACAGTAATCATCTATATAAAATCTTTAAAGTTTTAAGAGTTTCACAAAGGTAGTCCAAATTTCAGTCCTCAACTGGAGCTGAGAAAATGTTTCACCAGACAGAGCTCTAAGTAGCCCCATGTGCTTCTAATTAAACTATTGCTACCTAAATGGGGATAAAAATGTACATTTTCAAATTTTGTATTTTAGCATTAAAATCAGAAGACATGTTTCTTTTGATTACTGTAGAAGCATCTGGAGGATTTACCATACAATAATTGCAAGTTCCAATGCCTATTTACTAAAACAATTAACGAAGAATTATTTTCAAAAATATTTCAAATAAAAATGTTTGCAATTTGATTCTTTAGACCAGTGGTCCCCAACCCCCGGTCCGCGGACCGGTGCCGGGCCGTGGAGTACCTGGCACCGGGCCGCGCAGCGTGCGCAAAGGCTCCAGGGAAGAGAGCCCCGCGCAGGTACGCAATCAATGTGTCGTCGCGAACAACGCCCCCCCACCCCTGCGCGCACTCAGCGGGCCACGGTAAAATTATCAAAGGCTGACTGGTCCTGACTGGCGATAAAAAGGTTGG